TAAACATTTGCCTATATTAGCCCCAGAAATGTTTTATTTTTATTAGCCCAAACTTTATCTTTTTATGAAGACACAGGGGCCCAATAAAATTAGTGTGCAAATATAATACCCAATTTGCATTTTTCCATGGTCAGCAGAAAAGCTGAGTAAAATCAATTTGATATTAGGTCAGCATATACATCAATAAAGCATACGCTCACACAGGACCATTGTAATGGTTCCTGTAATTTCTATGCTGCCAGAGTAAAGAGATTAAATAATATTAAATGCTCCAAAATAGCTTCGTTTAAATAATATTAAAAGCTTCGCTTTTAAGAGGAATGTAAAAAGAAAGGGAGACTTTGGCATAAAACGAGCAATAAAGGATAATAGTTGCACAATCTCCAACTTTAAAACATTGTGACAATGATCTCAGAGGCAGGCTTCCTGCAAAATGGCCCCAATTCAGCACAGCTCTCATGCCAAAATTATGGTTAAGCACATTTTTGAGCACGATGCAAGTCCGTCCAACAAATCATGTACTTAAGCACCTGACAGAGTCAAGGACAGAGCCTGAATGAAAACCCAAAACTTGAAAGGTTTTGGATGCAGTTTTGAGCATTACATGCAGGACCATTGCTGAGTAGATGGTCCTTGCACAAAGGAGGCTTTGCTGAAAAAACCCCAGGCAGGACAGACTGAAGGTGAGGGGAGTCCATGAGCAGTGCCAGTCCCCTGTAGCAGTGCAATCTCATCACAGACCTGACCTTCCATGGCTTTTGCATGAGACAAAATACTGCTGCCTCCCATTTCAGGTAAAACTGCATAGGAATGGGTGTCTGACTTCCAGAACCTGTAGTCCAGTCTTTGCTCATCACTTTGTGGCACAAATGGCATCATTTTTACCTTCTGTCCCTCTTAGTTTCTTTGTTCAGCTGAAGCCAACTATAAGAAGGTGAGAAAGAAAATCTGACCTCACCAAGTCCAGTGGGATTCAGTAGTGACCAAAAATTCAGTTCCTTTGCACTCTTGCATTGCTGAGATGCACTCTCTTACCTGAAATGACATTTGTGGCCAGAAGGAGCAAAAATAAATGGGATTAGCTGCTGATCTGGTCTCTTAGGAAAAACCAGAGTACAGTAAATGCTGCTTGGATCTGAAGCAGGTTAATGTGGTGGGGATTGATCTGGTCTCTTAGGAAAAACCAGAGTACAGTAAATGCTGCTTGGATCTGATTTGCTGAAGCAGGTTAATGTGGTGGGGAAGAGGCGCTCGGGGCAGCGCCGACACCGGCGCTCGCTTTTGACACAGATGTTCCAGCTGTGCTGGGCACAGACCAGCTGGGGTGGCACACAGGAGGGTAATGCAATAGAGCTGGTTTGATTTCCTCTGTGGAGTCTTTAACTCGCAGGGTTTTGAATAAAAAAATGCTGTCAGCAGCCCACCTCGTACTGCGAAGTACCTGGGACAGGACGGCAATATGGAATTCATTTGCAGTGGATAACATTCCATTAAAATATACGTGGGTATTTAAAATCACATTGTTATTTGGCCATATGTCTGTAGGATGATGGATTCCCATGGATTACAGCCTTCTGGTCTTCCAGAGATTACAAGATTTTTCTAGTACCTTTCTCAACTTTGAAGTCCTCTGCAAAGGAGTGAAATTCACTCTCAATTTCTCCTGATGGGCACCAGCCTCAAGGCTTTCTGAGCCAGACTTTCAGGGTCAGACCTCTCCTCCTTTAGTGCTAATTTGTGAACATGAATCATAAAATACATCATGGCTGCAAGACCTAAAGAAACCACAAATCTGCAGCCTGATTCTGGTCTGACAAGGTAGCAGAAAAGATCCTGGAGGTTGAGGAGTGATGTTCTACCTCAGTTCTGTTATAGTACTTCATCTTTGAGGTGCAAATGGAATTCCACAAATTTAATATTTCTGCTTGAATGTTCTAGATACTTACCATTAAGCTGCTATACACAAATACTATAATTTTCATCTTTTTATAGTAGCATAAAAATGAAAATTGAATGAAAATGGCCAAGTGAATGTCTTGCCTTCCCGTGAAGGTTTAGAATTCGATCTGACTCTCTCTTTGTAAGTAGAAAATGTTTTCTGTGCAACCCTGCTTTAGTTGCAGTAGCATAATAAGCAACCAGGAGTGGAAATTGCTGTTTCCTGGGTGAGAGCTGAGGGAGTGTTGCCAGTGGGGTTAAGTGACTGGCTTGACATGCCAAATCTTTATAGGGGAAGGGACATGGGTTGAGGGCCAAACAGCACAAGTGGTATTCAGAATGAGAGCCCTGAGCTGCTTGCTTGTAGCCCATTGAGTTTCTTTGCAGCATGAAATTTGCTTGGTGTTTATCCCTACTGTGGTTGCTGGGGAGCCAGAATAGATGTTGAGGTTAGTGTTGATTGTTCTGAATAGCATCTCAGATCTCCACAGCTTTGTTCTGGGGAATTCTCCTCTGAGCAGGGGCAGGGTGGCAGTGGGTGAGCAGCAGTTACACCAGGTTGTAACATACAGTGACAGATTGTTTAGGTCTCAGTCATAAGTCAAGGCAAATATTATCCATGATTATGATAGTGGTAGCCTTCAAAGAGAAGAGAAAATGTTCATTTAAATCTTCAAGATATGTTCCAGAAAAGAAAATTTAAAAGGAACCATTCCAGACGTGTCTACTTTTTTTTCCTTTGTTTCCAAAAAACCTGTTTTGTCAAAGAGTTTTGTTTCTAAGATTCACTGCTATGGTGTTTAGAAGGGTAAAAGTGGTACCACAACAGATTTCTCTGCATTTCCACAAGTCTCAAAGCTGTGGCTAAATGGAGTGTGCCTTTCTGTCATTTTGCTTAAGTGTTTTTGGCACCTACTAAGCAAAGCTATACACTTCTAATCTTCTTAATTTTGATTGATCTTTTCAATCCTGAAGTAGAAAATAGGATGTATTTCTAATGCAACATTTAAATTAAAAAATGAAATGGTGTTTTGAAGTTGTTTAGTGTGTTAACCTTGGTTAGCAGCCAGATGCCCACACAGCTGCTTCATTTTATACAGGATAGGGGGAGAAAATAAAAAGGAAAGGCTCAAGGGTCAAGAGAAAGACAAGGATATAATTTACTAATTGTCACTGGGGGCAAAGCAGAGTTGACTTGTGGGGATTTTAATTTATTGCCAATTAAAATAGACTTGCATAGTGAAAATTATTGATCATAATAATGATTCTAATAAGTGTTATGAAGCATAAATAACAACAACTTTGCAATTGCAAAGAAAGCCACAAAACACCCCAAACCAATCCTCTGTCCAAAAGATTCCTGACCAGTGCTGTTCCAGTGTGGCAGTCATGGTGCTGAGCATCACATCTGTTCTCTAAAGCAATTCTGGTTTTCAAGAGGGGAGGAAAACTCATCTCCTATTGCTAAAGTGATACCAGCCTTCTCCTTTTGTTCCTCAAAGTTGGTTTGCTGATTTATCTCCTTCCTCCCACACTACTTAACATTAATGCAAATAACGTGGGATGGTCATTGACTCCTACCTGATGGGGTTGTGCTCCTTTTTGCTGCCTCCCACTTTTCTTCTGCCCAGAGAATTGACCCCACCAGCTGCTGGGTTTGGCAGAAACTTTCTTTCTTATATTTCTTTGCCTCCAGAGTTCAAAAACATCAGATAATGGTGAAGCTGGTGTGAGAAAGAACAAATGAATGGCTGAGTTATAGGGAGAGCAGCTGCAGGACTTTGAGATGCTAAAGAAATAAAAGAAGAAACCTGCCTCAATTGTCTCATGAGAACAGGAAAAAAATGTATTGATTATTCCTATGGTTCTGTAAGGTGTGATTTGCCATGGGGAAAATGGAGCATTTCTAAGAACTTGGGAAATTAAAAAAAAAAACAAAACAAAAACTAATCTATGGTCTTGAGGACTCTCACACATCTTTGAAAATAAAAGTCTGACTTTGGATGTGTGTGCAATACATCTACCTAATTAAAACAGATTAAACTAAGTTAAAAAAAACCCAAAAACCACAAACAAACAAAAAAGCTTGGCTTTAGTTTCCAGTCTGTAAACTTTTTGCTTCAAAACAAAGATTTAAATTGTCTCTAGCAATTGGAGCCTGCTGTGTTTAGCATTACCCCTGCTGTGTGTGTTCAGGTTGAGATAAGACATCTAACTGAGGTCCTGACCTCTTATAGTCTTTAAAATTCCCAGAACCCACTCTGCAAGAGCATAATTTTCATTTGCTGTTTATTAAATGCAGTCACAGCACAAACAAAGGAAGGATCCTGGTTGACCCATATAGTTTATGGCTGAAGCAGGTGGCCAAAGTGATGTGGTTTCAAAACTGAGGGATTAACCCATGTTAAATTCAGCATAGTTGGGATCTAAATCTGTCTTCCACCTATCTGCAATTTGAAGGGGAAATGGCACATTTTCATGCCCTCACTGTATAAGGTTTCTGGATTTAATCTTGGTCTCTTTTCTGTACTTTTTTTTTTTTAACCTTTCTTTCAGTTAGAGCAGATGCAGTCCCAAACACTTAACAGATTTTTAAAATATCACCCCTAAATCCTCCAGAGCAAAGCCTAATAAATATAATTTGTAGCACTTTGCCATTGCCTGGCACTGTTAAGGCTTGGACCAAGTGTAATGCAGGGTGCAATTGGCTTTACCTTGACTGGAGCCCCAGTGCTATTCCTGTGGCCCAGGGGGACATTTATCACGAGTGAGAGCACAATTACAGTGCAGTTAAACTCTCTGCAGTAAATCTTGGGGTTTAAAAAGAGAGCTAGAATTGTTGTTGCAAGTTTGGCTGCATGTCATTAGTCTTGCACCCCTTGTGCAGTCTGGGAAGAAGACCTGGTGATGCTGCCCCTTTGGATTGTTCTTGTTTATAATGTGTGACCAATTCTAATGAAAGGATGTGTTTTAGAAATTTGCAGTTGCTTGCTTCTACATCTGGGGCACAGTTTAATGATCTTAATTTCTCTTTTTCCCCCCCCCCCCCCTTTCTGCTGCAGCAAACCTGCGTCCAGGGGCTGAACAGAAAGTGGTGTTCATCACAGCACGGGTCCATCCTGGGGAAACACCCTCTTCCTTCGTCTGCCAAGGTGAGTGTCTGCTCCAAGCTGAGAGATCTGCTGGGACCTGATCTCCTGCTGGTGCATGTGCTCAGTGTGGATAGCTTTGGCTCCGAAAGGGGATGTGGCAGATTTTTCCACAGTGAGGATATCAGCAGAATCTCTCATCTAATACCCAGATGCTCATCTTCTTTGAGGCTGTAGGGATGAATTGGCTCCAAGTCTTGTGGAGGTTTGCTGAACTTGGTCAGAACTGGACAGAGTTGGGCTCTGAAGCTGTTTGGGAGGAAGGAGGCAGTCACACTTACATGCAATATATTTGTGCAAAGGTCCTTTTCTTAGAGCTTTTCCAGCCCATTTTTCTGGGGTTTATTCTGTTAACTGCTTATTTTTTTCTTGCTATGTACCATCTCCAGCTTCTTTTCCATCACAAAGCAGTGACCCTAGCTCTCCAGTTGAATTCTAAGAGGCCTCTCTTTGTCTGAAGCTGCTGCTCTGAGGAGCACAGCTCCCAGTGGCTGACAGCTGTTTCCTGCACAAAGCACTCCTGCTAAAAATAGAAAGCAAATTGCCCAGCTTGTATTTATAAAGAGTTGTAAATCTCAGGCTCGTGGGTACAAATAAATAAATAACCCTGGCACGCCTTCATATAACTTCATTGTACAGGCCTGAAATATTGTACTTATGCATGTGACTGTCTGCAGCAGTGAAGTGTTGATGGTGTAAATCAAAGCAGCTCCCCTGGAGCCAGGGCAATTTGGTAATTCACTGCAGCAGCTTGGACCTGGCCCTGCTGAGCCGATGAGCTGCATCAATCAAGCATATGCAGGGTTTATTATGTTGTCTGCTCATGGTGCCACAGACTCCATTGCCATTGGCCCTGCTGGTACCCAAAGACCTCGGTGGGGAGGGTCTGGCACACGTTCATGGCCTTCTCTGTGTGCTCCTCATCCTGGCAAGGTGCTGTGTCTGGCATCACTGAGGCAAAAGCTCATCAGCTGCCCCCTCTGCTGCCCCAGCCCCGTGGGCTTGCAGGACACTCTCCTTGCTGGCCTGGAGTAGCAGAGTAAAACCCTTCCTCTAATAAAACAATGCTTCAGACTGAGAGCAGGAAAACTCAGCGAGTTTCCCATCTCCTGCCGTGCCACAGTCAATGCAGGGCATTATAGCACACATGATGTTTGTTAATGAATATGGATTTTTAATTGGCTGCTTTGATTCTGTTTGTGGCTGCTGGCATAGCCCTGTGAAATGAAAGCTGAGGCATGCTGCTGAGGTGGTGCTTTGTAAATGATGTTGTTTTATTTTGATAATGGAGAGTTTATTCAAAAGGGAAATAATCAGAAAAGAAAAAAAAAAAGGATGTGTAAAAGCGTGTGGCATGCTTAGCCTGATGAAACAGCTAGATAGAAGTCATGCTCTGATTGTCTCATGGAAACTTTGTGTTTTGTAATAAAAAAGGGAAAAAAAAAACCCACAAAGAAAACCCAAACAAAAAAAAGTAGGAAATACAAGAAAACTAACAAGGAGGTATGAAGGTATTCGTTTTGGAGAAGCACATGAGAAATTTTCTGTGGCTGAGTTACAGCTCCTGCTTGACTCCCTGAGCCACAGGCTCTGGGCTCTGCACTGAGCCCCTGCCCCGTGCAGGCAGAGCTGCCTCCTGTGCAGAATTAGCAGCCAGACAAGTGTAAATGTCAAACATTTCAAGGCCACTGCAGGGTTGTTTCTAGCACTGCCAAATGTGAAATTGGGTGCTTGCTCCATCTTTGGAAACTTTTGTGTGGGAGGATCAAAAGAAGGGATAAAAAAGATTCCTCTGGCAGTCAAGTTGAGGGCACACTTAGGAATTTTATTTCTGGAGTCTCAGGAAGCTTTTTGGCATAGCTAGGTGTTGCAGATTTTATATCCAGATGCCAGCTCAGTGCATATGGAACATGTCAGGACTATTTTTTTTTTTTTTTGTGGTGGAGAGATTTCTTCTGGAATGTTTGATGATGCTCACCACCTGGAGTATTAAGATCTGGAATCTGGTCCCAAAGATTCCCCAGGAGCAGGCAGCATTTCGTGGATGGAAGACCAGAACTGACTGCCCAAGCTTGCAGAATCAGTCCACAGGGGAAGAGAGAATGAGCAAAAAGATTTATATTTTTTGGTTTTCATTTTTTCACACTGATCTTTGGTTTTATACAGTTCAGTCACTGTCTTCTTTAAAGCCTGAAGATAATATCTGACTCTTTACTCATTTTTCTACTTACCTTTGGGCTGGCCAGTTCCCTCCCTGCCCTCTTTGTCCTGGTTTCTGCTGAGGGATTTTTAGCTGTATACTCCAAACAGGAGTTTCCTGGGGCCTGGCAGAAACTACCTATTACAGCCCCCATTTCTTTGGTGGTTTTTTGTTTGGTTGGGTTTTTTGTTGTTGTTTTTGACTAGTCAAGGCCCCTGAGAAGCAAGTTTTCTAGCTTTAATATATCACGAGATACTTGTGCCTGTCTTTTGATCCTTTGTCCTCCACTTTACTCACATATTATGAATCTAAGCAAGGATTTGTATTCCTATGGGAGAAGAAAAAGCTTGTCATCTCTCTGTTCAAAATTGTTTCTCTGTCATTCTTCTTCATATTCTACTATGAAGAATCCACTGAAAACTGAGTTTTGGATACAAATGCCCTTCATTCCTGCAAATGTGCAAGTATTTTAAACTTGGACAGACATTTCTGTCACCTTCCAACAGTGGAGTGCTTGCAGCAGCAGCCAGACCTCCCTGGAATCATCAGGCACCTCATCCAGCAGTTACAAACAAACGCTGCAATATTTCACACATGCTGCAGCTGCCACAAAACCCTGGAGGGCCTCTTCATAAAAAGATGGATTAAGAACCTTTTGTTCCTGTTTTGGTCTTTTAAGGGTTAGCACAATGGTTAGCCTTTTTAGGAAGTTTTCCTGGTGGTTCTTACCTGCTTGTGGTGGAGCTCAGGGCTGGAAATGGAGACCCAGTCATCAGAGAGTATATTCAGAATATTCACATGAGTACCTTTCAGTCCAAAGGTAGAGTGGTATTCTCCTCCTCAGATGATAATGGTCACCACAAGCATTGATGTTTGTACCACTTCTAGGGATGAGTAAGTAGGAGTAGGGTCCAGGATTAAGAGGATTTGTTTTCATTTTGCTCTTAGAGACCATTTTTAAACCAACTGGAATCACTGCTGCTTCTGAAGGGCTTTTGTAGTGAGCACAAAGAAGTGCAAATTCATCTTACAGCCTGAACTCATCTCTCTCGGGCTGTTCAGATTTCTGAGGGATTTTTCTGAAGTTGTGGGTTTAGATTATTTTCCTTTCTTATATATTTTTCTTCATTTCTCTCCCTCACAGTATTTTCCTTTAAGAAAATGTATGCTGTTTTCTCTTCCATACTTTACTGTAAAGGCATATAATAAATAAGTAAACTAACAAATAAACTAACTCTTACAGATGTCAAGTAACAGTGTGCACTAATAATCTGTGCAAGCCCCTACCCTCTAAACACTGACCATAAAGCAGCTTTCAAAAGGTTTGGATTTTATTCAAGACTTGGTAATAGGGGGTACTTTTAGCCCCTAATATTCTCAGAGTCTTATTTTCTTTCTCATGTTTGCTGGATTTTATGTTCTTTGTGGGAGAAATTCACATCCATGGAAAGTTGTAGGAGACACTCCTACCTTTAACTTTGTCCTGTATGCTCTGACTTTTGCCAGCAGTCAGTAATTCCAAGGTTAAACATGTCTAGATGTACCAAGACATGTATTTAACCCACTGATTTAGAATGTGCTATTAGTAGGATGTCATTTGTTGCTATGCCAGGGTGGCATCCACTGTGCCATCTAAATGCAGAAATGAAAATTTGTACCCCCAGCCTCTAATGGAGATCTCCAGGCTGGGATGCCAGGATTGAAGCCCAGTGCAATACAGGAGGGAGAGGAATCCCACAGCTGGGTTTGAACTTGCTGAGCATCTTGGTCTCAGTGTAATTTGACTTGAGCTGACCTTGAATCTTATGGGCTGAAAAGGAAACAGCCATTAAAAAGAAAATATAAGAAAAACAGACACCTGTGACTCTTTTCCATAAGAAACGGAGAAAAAATTACTTTTCAATCAATTTTCTTTTTTTCTATAGCTGCTTAAATGAATGCTCCCTCTTGCTTCACCTTAAATCAGATGATATTAAATGAAGCACAGATTACACTGGGCAAGGTCTCTTGATTTTCTGTTTGCATTCTTTGTCTGTGTTTTTAACCCTCACCCTCTCGCCAGCAGAGGGCAGGGGAAAAAAAAATCTGAAAACCTGTACAAATTTTGATTCTAAGTTTAAAGCATGGAATAGCAGGCAACAGACTGCCTAAAAACAAATCTCCCAGCAGCTGTCTCTCAAGTTCTGATGTTGCACTATAACTCACTGGGCTAGTGGGTAATTGAAATTGCTCTCTATGTCACCAGGATGCTCCAGGTGCTATGAAGGATTTAACTCCTGGACAAATTCCAAAGTGGCCTCTTAAAACTGTTTTCTGGTTTGTTTTGTGGAGGCAGTGCCTTCAAATTCTTTGAATTTGATCCTGCAGGAAACCTGAGGGAGTTAGTAGGAGAGTGAAGTTGCTGAAACAGAATAAATTTGACTTGGGTGGGTTTTTTTCATTGTGTTACGGGGTTTGTTTTGTTTTGCTATGTGTTTGGTATTTGTGGTTTTTATTTCTTGTGGGAAACACAGTCATAAGTATGAGAAGGGTCCTTGTGAATCCTGTTTCTTCTGCTTGGAATTTTACCCAAACTCTTTTCTTTTCTTATGAAGAAAGAGGAGGACTATACTGGCGGGGTTAAAAGCTGCTTTTCCGTTTCTTTTATTAAGCATAAATCTTTTGAACATAAGGACATAGGTGATAGTAACTGAAGGCCAGGACATGTTTTATATGCAAGTGTAAATTCAGCCTTTACCTGTGGAAAGAGCCTTTCTGAAGGAGCAGAGGTGATGACCTTGCTCAGCTGTCTCCAGGGTATAAA